CCTACCTGGGCGAGGAGGCCGAGGGCCTGGCCGCTGAGCGCTCTCCGCTGCCGCCCGGCGCCGCAGAGGACGCCAAGCCCAAGGACCTGTCCGACTCCAGCTGGATCGAGACGCCCTCGTCCATCAAATCCATCGACTCGAGCGACTCGGGGATTTACGAGCAGGCCAAGCGGAGGCGGATCTCCCCCGCGGACACGCCGGTGTCCGAGAGCTCGTCCCCGCTCAAGAGCGAGGTGCTGGCCCAGCGGGACTGCGAGAAGACCTGCGCCAAGGACATTGGCGGCTACTACGGCTTCTACTCACACAGCTAGGCCGCCCCTGCCCTGCAGCCCCGGGCCGCTCGCGCCAACCACTCGCGCACCCTCGCGTGTTATTTGACCGTCGGCGACCGTCTGCGGCGAATAAGTGCAGGTCGCCCACTATGGTTTTAACCTTTTCTTTGCACAGCCATCTCTGCAGTTAGCGCACCGTCCTTCAACTATGCTGTAAACCTTTTGGTATTCCAGCTCACTCTCCTAACACATCCTCCCACCTCGACTTTTTCTCACCCCCTCCTTCTCTTTCTTGTAAGGAAACTCTTCACCCTTAGGAGACCTGGGCAGACCTGTCAGGCAGCAGCGATTCCGACCCGCCTTGTCTCGGCCTCTCCATTAACCATAAGATGTTGACTCTAGAACCTGGACTCACCCAGCGCGTCCTTTCTTATCCTGGAGTGGATGGATGGATGGATGGATGGTAGGGATATTAACAATTTTAGTGGAACAAAGCCTGTGAAATGATTGTACATAGTGTTAATTTATTGTAATGAATGGCTAGTTTTTATTCTTATCGACAAGGCACAAAACCAGTTCATGCTTAACCTTTTATTCCTTTCCTTTCTTTGTTTTTCTTTTTCTCCTTTCGTTCTTTCTCTCTTCTATTTTCTTGTGAGATAATTAAAACCATTCTAGGAGGCTCTGGAAACATGAAATACTCCATAGTGATGGGTTCCTCATTTCTCCTCAATTAGTTGCATGAAATAATTACCAAGTGCCCCTAATGCACACACATAGCTGAGGAGAATCTGCCCAAACACCTGTAAAGGATAGGTATCTGTTCATAGGCAAGTCGATTAAGTGGCATGATGCCTGCAAAGCAAAGTTAACTGGAGTTATATGTTTTCCTCCCTTCCTCCTAAATAGAATAGCTCGACATCAGCAATATTATTTTGCCTTATTTGTTTTTCCCCAAAGTGCCAAATCCATTACTGGTCTGTGCAGGTGCCAAATATGCTGACAAACTGTTTCTGAATATCTTTCAGCCCCCCTCAACCTTTATATGCTGTAAATCTTTGTAACGAATACTCTACTAATGATATAGATGACTGAATTGTTGGTAACTATAGTGTAGTCTAGTGAAGATGAATTGTGTGAGTTGTATATTTTACTGCATTTTAGTTTTGAAAATGATCCCCCCACTTAGAAACAGCTGAAATTTGACTTCCTTGGGAAAACACTAGCATTAATGCAATTAAGACTGATTTTCCCCCTCTAAGTCTTGTTATATTTGATAAGGAGCATCAATCCCCCTGGAAATAGATTAGTAGGATTTCTAATGTTGTGTAGCAAACATATACTTTTTTGTATCTTAAAATTAATGTGAAATATGCATCATACACAATATTCAATCTAGATTCCAGTCCACGGGGGGAATTTTTCCTAATAGGAATTCAGGGTCTAAACGTGGTATATTTTGGCTCTTCTGTAAATCAAATGTTGTGATTTTTATATTTGTTTTGTTTTGTCTGTGAACTGAATAATTTATACAAGTACACACACCATGAGAAACGTTTTGTTTTTGCTCGTTTGTACTGTCTGTGTATAACAAGTAAAATAAACCTGGTAAAACGCTAACTATGGTGTTTGAAAGCAGTTTACAGTTTGAAAATAATTTTATTATTATAGTTGATTGTGTTTAAGGAGTAAGAAAGGCTAGCCTGTCCCTGCTCTGATATGGGGCAGTGTGTTGATAATGGGAACCACCACCTATTCCTGCCTTAAATTCGTTTTCTAGCTCTATCAGGGGTTGCCTTTTTCTTTTTATTTACAATTATTTAGCTCTCTATTAGTCAAGCTCCTCTTTATTGCGCTCATTTTTTTTCCAGGAAAACATGCACTTTCTTGATCATATCTCTCTGAAGTTGGAAATGATGCGAACAGGACAAGGAGGGTCTTTATATAAGAAGTTAAGAATTTCTTTAAATTTCACAAAGTAAGGCAGAAGTCGTTGGGCGAAAGTAGGGTGTAATTTAAAGCGTGTCAAAATAGTCTGTTGATCTCAAATATCGAAAGTTTTGGTCTTACCAAGAGGCCTTGGAAGTGAGTGACAATCGATAAAAGCAACAAAATGGCCTTCCTTTCTTAAGTGGTTTCGGGGAATTGTGTAGGGGCAAAGACCCACAGAACAATCTAGTGGAATGGCTGTTTTTAAACACTGAGTTTAAAAGTTGCTTTGGGAGCTACCTGGAGGCCACTAATCTATCCTTCTATAGTGGAATACCTAGGCCAATGCTATCCAAGCCAGATCCCCACCCCGTAAGGACAAATGCAGAAAGGGGGAATTTCAGCTCTGCACCTTAGTGAAGGTGTCCGAAGAACTCTGCCTTTACCTCTCCGCCAGAGCGAGGTACTTTGAAATTTGACTTCCGTCATTTTTGCACTTTTGTCTCCAAAGAAAGGTGACCTAGGAAAAAGGCAGAAAAATGGTTTAAGATTCTTGTTTAATCTGGGCCGGGCTCAGGCTATGGGACTAAATTTACCACCACGCAGAGACTGTGCTGTGTCCCTTTTGCAGTTTGACATGTAAAGAGGCTTCAAAGTTCCAATAAAAATGAAAATTCAAGGGAGAATGAAACTGGCTTGCCTTTCCCGGCCAATTCTGCCACTAGACGGCGTTTTGTGGAGTTTTGTCTGCCACGCGGAAAAGCGATAACTGGTTTTCCTTTGTGTTTCCTTCTCCCTCCCCACCTTTAAGAACTAAAGAGGAGGACGCAAAGTACAAAACACGGTGCACTTAGAGCGAGGGAACTGGAGCTGGCGTTCGTCTAGTCGTCCACTCACCCGCCGGCCGTGCCAATTCTGCCACTAGACGGCGTTTTGTGGAGTTTTGTCTGCCACGCGGAAAAGCGATAACTGGTTTTCCTTTGTGTTTCCTTCTCCCTCCCCACCTTTAAGAACTAAAGAGGAGGACGCAAAGTACAAAACACGGTGCACTTAGAGCGAGGGAACTGGAGCTGGCGTTCGTCTAGTCGTCCACTCACCCGCCGGCCGTGGGCCGTG